GCTAGTTTGCACTCGTCTTGTTGTCTGTGGTTTTTTTGCGAGTGATCATTGTCCTTTTTTTGTCTGTTGCAACTTAGATGAATCTACGGAATAGAGTTGTATGCGACATTACACTGCTCGGGTTAACTCCCTGGAATCAATCATTTTCATAGTTGATTTTTTTGTTGTTTTTTTTTTGTTGTGTTTGTGATGGTTAAATGCTAATGACCAGTATCTAGTAAAAAACAATTGTATGTATGGTGATCCCTACAGGATAAGCCAACGACCCAAAAAAATAGACTTATAACACATTCTTCTATAGTTGAACTAAGTTGTGTATTTTTTGAAGTTTAGATGTTTCGTTCTTTTTAAGGGGGCCGTAAAAGATACTGGAACGGGTGGCACTGCCAATACCGGCGGTAACTGGCCTCACAGCGGTAAAGCGACGCCGCTAACTGCGGGACATTTGACACCAGCTGATAGGCATGGATCTGTACAGGTAAGAAACAAACATAGATTATATGTACAAATGAGTAGAAACATGTTTCTTTAAGGATTACCTAACATGTTTCTAATTATTAGATTAGAAACATGTTTCTAATCATTAGATTAAAAACATGTTTTTAATCGTAAAATCATGAAATCCGTTACACATTGGGGTGCGGTTGTATCAGTAAAATGTTAGGTTTTTGATAGTTATTGCTCAACACAAACCACCTATGTATTACGGTGTTTTATTATTAGCTATTTATATATTAGCACGTTACATAAATTTTTAAGCACTACGAATAGTTTCTATAATAAAACACAAGTTGCCAGTTTACAATTATTTTTTTAATTAAATTGGTACTTTATTTATGTGTTTGCATGTTTTTTCGATGCATCTAAATTTTTTTCCTTTACACATAAATGTATTTTGGTGTATTTATTTCTTTTTAGCTATTGAAGAATAAGCATTTTCGGTATGTGAAATTTCCCGGATCCGTTTCCACGGTCAGTTGTGAACATTTTGCGACAATCCTTGTTGTGACTGTCTGCATGACCTTGAGTTTTCACTGACGAAACATTTGGTTAAACATGTTTTAGAGATAGCTATGTTTCGGCAGTGGAAACGCTTGGTGAAGCTTTGTTATTGTCGCTCAGTGGTTAGCTTTGCACAGTTGCCTGTGTTGCAAATGAGAATATTAAAAAAATTACACATGTAATCGATCATTATATTGTATTTTATCTGATGAATATTTACTGGGGTGTTTTATTAACCAATATCATATTTACTTATATTTTTATCAGTTATTTATTTAAGCATTTGCTTTAATATAACTCATTTTGTCAAGACAGGACTAGCTTTTACGCGCGAATTCTTCCGCGCTGCATTAAAAAATTTAGATAATCAACTCAGTCACAATGTAGCTTACAAATGGCGAGATAATTTTTAAAACAGTTTAATAAAAAAAAAATCTAATTTATTCCTTACGTATAACAACCTCTTAATAACATTAATGTAAATGTTTTGAATGCCTAGTCTATGTGTTCTAGGAAATCTCATTGGTCGATTAAATGTGTTCATTTAACGGTACATTGGGTTCGTTTTTACATTAACAAGTATCTGAGTACAAGCTTATTATATGAATGGCGGGCTTTGTGTTATATCAGTGTTGTGTGGTTGCTTCTATACACTTGCATTAGAAATAAAAAAAATGTATTGTCCTTAAGGTTCTTTAGGCGAAAAGTATGCCGTGAATTAGGCAGTACCTAAAACTCTGGGTATAATTTTTGATTGTGATGTTTTAAAAAATAAAGAATCTTGTCTTTGTGAAAACATGAAATTTCAGTTTTGAATAATTAAAAATTTCTAATTATTGTAGTTTTTTATTAACGTGTTTAAAGTTATTTTTGCGAGGTGGATTTGATTTGAGAATAAATTTTGTCGTAGTCTGTGTTTAACAATCTTTGATGTGTAGATTTTCGTTTCCTTGCTTACCCCTAAATCAGCTATGTCGCTAAATGTACACTCACTAAACTTAACTACCAAAAAGATAGGAAAAATTATTATTTAAAAAAAAAACACTTTAGATGTAGCGTAAAAAAATGTACAACATAAAATACATGTAAAATATGCGGTTTTATGACCGTGCTGTGACAATTTACGTCATACATGCTTTCAAACCTATTAGGCTAACGTCCGCGTGAGCTTGTTATAAAAAATTTGCGTTTTCATTGACATAGATGTTTCGTATATGACGTCATCACGTCAAATGTTAATCGTTGACATATGTATGCTCTGGAGGTGAAATATTTGGCTTGTTTCGTGTACCTAACTAAATTTACCTAACCAGTTACTACGATAACGAAAAAAAAAAAATATTACCTAACTGGTTAGGTAAATTTAGTTAGGTTAACGGAACAAGCCAATATTTACCGCAGGCGACACACGCAGGTGACGCGTTACGTCATCGGAGGTGATATTTGGGAAGCAATGATGGTATAGGAGGTATGTTTCCGTCAGGTGGTGAGTTCGACGAACGGCGAGCTGGGCGCGGACGACCCGACGGCGGGGCACAGCAATACGCCCATCACGCAGCCGCACCACGAGGTCGATGTGGTCGACGACACCAAGTCAGTGTTTCAACTGTATGGACGATTTTATTTTTTTTATTTTAGTTTTAATTTTTTTATTTTAAGCCAGCACGACAAAGGAGGTCAAATGGATAACTTGATGTACTTTCCGTTAGTAAAAAATGGAGCTTTTAAAGAAAAAGTGGGACTTAATATTTGTATTTTTTTTTAATATTGATCTCCTGTGTTGTCTTTTATTATTATTTATTTGAACCTATCCTTTTAACTTTGAAGTAAAGAATAAGTGCCATTTCCTATTTTCGTTACATTGTTTATTTATTTTTCGTCATGTATTACATACTTTCTTAGTTTAATCCTAGTAAATACAAGCTAGTAGTATTGAAATTTATTTGCGATTATTATCTACTATAATTAGAATCCTTACTTCTGTTGAATGAGTTTTATTAATCTGCTATTATTAAAGCATATAAATTTTGTACTTTTTAATAAATATGATAACACCAATATCAATCAATTTAACCACAAGCAGACTCTGTAAATCGTCATGTAGGCAATCCGTTTATTCCAGGTGTTGCTGTTTCTTCAAGCGCAAAAAGAAGAAGTGCGCCGCGCGCGCGGGCAAGTGACGCGTGCGCACGTGACATGCGCACTAACCTTCCCCTCCCACTACCCTCCTCCACCTCCACCTCCACCTCCTCCCCACGCACGCCGCACTGCCATCCACCTTCTCACACAGTACATCAACGATCACTAACAGACATATCTGTGATTCGCTATTACATCATGTCCCTAATTAATATATTAATTCATAGTAGAATTGAACACATATTCTTTAGGACTAATAAGTTGTCAGTTCTCATTGAATAATCACACGTTTAATAACCATTTCGATATAATACTCACTTTTATTTATTCCTTGTCAAAGTTGTGTTAAGCGTGTGGAGGGTTTGCAGATTTATTTGTGATTTAGTTTAACGATTACCTTGATAACGCTGCTTCAAATAAAAATATAAACTATTAAACAGTAAATACAATTATATGTTTAGTTCCAATAAATTTTTATACATTTACAGCGTTAAATAAACGCGATAAAAAGTTAAACTTGGAATAAACTGAGTATAAGGAAATATTAGTACAAATTTTGTTTATACTCAGTTTATTCTTAACTTTAACTTTTTATCGCGTTTATTTGTAAGGCTGTAATTGTTCATATACAATTTCATTTTGACAAATTATGAATTATATAATACAATTATTACACTGTGGTTATTTTCAGATAGCTTATATTTTTATTTGAAAGAGTGTTTTTTTTTTTATTTAATTTAATAATGGATGGCAGTGTCCAAATCAACTCCACGTACTACGCTACTCCGATCACTTCCTTGCGCTTAGTATATTCAAATTTATCTGACATCTGTCACCGTGACGTCTGTCAAAGTGACACCTACGTGTGAATAAAGACTTATGACTGTTGTAAACTATTGCTAGTTTAAAATAAATCAATTTTAGAGTTATTCAATGAAAAATGTTATCATATTATATAACCACGTTTAATAAATCAGAGTAATGTCGAGTTATTCTTTTTAATTTCAAACACTAGCAATAAGTATCTTAATATGGCTGAGAATAGATAGTAATTTGCATATTTATTGAAAGGGCAACATTGTCTTAAATCACATGATCTTATAACGTGTAGCAGCTAGAGAATGACATATTAAATACATTAACGTATTAACACTCTTCTATGTTTTATTTCATATGTTTGTACAGTCGGGGAAATATATTTCCTACCCACTTACGCTCACAATGCAACCATACTTAGAAGGTGCGCTGAAGTTAGTTCTGTCAGAAAATATGCAACAACAAAACTACGTATAGAAAATTGCTAAAAAGAAGGTAAATATGACAGCTACAGTACGAAAAGAATCTTGTGCTATTTGGCACTTGAAATTTTGCCTTGTAGATCTAGAAGTCACTCGTGCGCAGAAGCTTTGCCGATGGCTTTATGACGTCACGTAGTAGCCGTCAGTACTGAGCAAATTAACGCGTCGATGTTCAGTAAGGGGAATCATCGGCAAACCTTCGCATGAGTAATATAGTTCTTAAAGTGACGGTACGATACGATCTTAAGTGGGTATCGAATTTAATTCTTTGACTGTACCTGTGTGAGTGCTATACCCTATATAAAAATAAGTAAAAAAAAGATGGAATTTGTATTTACTTGTAATTACTGTTATGTAAAGTTCACTACCGGCGATGCTTTGAGCATTAGCAATTTGCCACGAATATAAAGTGATATAGATATTTATTTACAATATTTAGGACCTGTCCCACCACTGGCTGATAGAGGCTCGGATAGCTTAAAAATGACGGTACTGTCGGATGAGGGAACAAAATTCGATATTTCAACGTTTATATATTCGATTATCAAACATTTTACAATTTGGCGGGACAGGCCCTTAAGACAGGCCTTCTTAAGCTATCTGAGCCTCTATCAGCCAGTGGTGGGACAGTGCCTTATCGTGGTTTATCATTGCGGAAACATGCACGTGAAACATTTTGGGGAAACAGCTGTCTTATTAATTGTATACAAAAAATAAGGAAGCTCTGACAACTTTTTTATTCAAATGACGATGTTGATCGAAAAAATTGTATCGTTTTAAATGCTTTACGTGAATGTTTCGACAATGCGAACCCGGTAATCAATGTTTGCAGTCTGTTTATTGCTATATTATCCTTGGTTATTATATTGTAAATTATTAATATTGGCCAAGTTCTATTGAACCGTTTTCGGTAATAAACTATTATCTCGTATATATTTCCATTTATCAGGCAGTATTAAAATTATTCATAAAAAAATTAGATAGATTTGACAAATGTCATTTGAGAATGCAAAAGCGGAAAAGCCTTGGTAGGGCTCGTGTAAAACCAATTATTTTATATATTATATCATAGCTTACGATCGGTCGCCGTTGTTTTGTACGTGGAATTTTATCTTAAGGATTATAAATGTTTAAAATCAAAACAAAAAAATAATATTAAAATAATTCTCAGTTATAATGTTGACTCGAGTCTTTTTTGGTTATTCAAAATGCTAGCGCAAGATTTTTTAGTTTCTGTTAGTTTAGTGCGAGGTTATCATCGAATTGGAATCAGCTCAGATAAATCTAGTCTTCACAGATGTTGTTACGACTATTGCGTTCAATAGTTGCAGACAGTCGTCTTACAGTCACGGGCTCATACATAGAGGAGATGTTAAGCTTAAAAATATATAAAAAACTGATTTAATGTTACAACATAAATCAATCAAAAACGTCAATAGTTTGCAAAATTAAAAATAAGATAATCTGTTCAAAGAAAAATGGGAAATAAATGATAGCGTACGCACGTCTGCACTCTACCAGTGGCGCAAACAGACTGAGAAGCCACGCCCACTTTTTTCTTAACGTCTGAATTTAGTTGCAAGTCACTTGCTTACGTCATCTCCTCGGTATGGCCTAGTGATGTACCATCGCGTACCTTTCAAATGTCGATATTTTCTTTATTTTCGTAGCTTTCGTATGTCAGTGGGGAATGGGTGGCGTTGCTTTCAATTTGTGTTCCCGTCCTTAGAGAGTTATTTTATTTCATTTTCTATCGTTTAATTTATTTTATCATGGGACTAGAGATCTTAGACGATCCATTCCGGGTCTATTTCAAGAAACCTTCCGATTGGCAAATGACTTGAAATTATATAAGTTTGAGGGAAAGGTCGACGGTTGAAACGGCGATTGATTTTTCATAAATATTTAAATCGATCAATTGTTTTGTCAAAGCGCCATCTATCGCGTTATCTACAAGTTTTTTTGCCAGACTAAACGTCGATTTAGTAACCAAGCTCTGTAGTTGCTTTGTCCCATTCGATTAGTTTTCGATACATTTTCTTAAGTCCTGTGAGTTCTCTAATTATATAGTTCTTGTGTAATTATATTTTGTTACATAAGTAATAATTTACCATAAAGTAGTTTTGTGGCTATTTACTAAGTTTGAGTGTTGTGGGGTGTCAGCGTTGTGTCGTTGGGGCCTTCTTGTACATCATATACATTTATTTGCCTTGTTTTTTGCTAACGGTACTCAAATATTTTAACAAAATTGAATAGGCAAAAAGTTCTTACCTTGATTAAAAAACATTAGAGGAGAAGATGAGTATTTGATATTTTCTACAGCTTGTAAGGGGTGATTTTTTACATACATCCAACCATCTGTCTAAGTTAGCTAAAGTTTTTAGCACCTTTTAACTTACTGTAAATGTCTATAGCCAAGTTACTTCGCTATTTTAGCGAATTCAGGTTTTGTTTTGCTTGCAATTTCTTTTTAAAAATCTTATATAGTATAAGTTCGCGCCCCGGCGTTACTCGCCGACTATAACCTAACTATAGTTATGTTTAGTCATTGAAGTGAGCTCAGTTGTGAGGTAGGGCCCCGCGTTGGCTCCATTCCTATAGTGTTGACATCTTTATTTATGTCTTATGTAATTTTTTAGGTTATAAGTCGCTGATATAACCCGATTCGATAATACTACGCAATAATTTTAATCCTAGGGCAGTTTGGACAGTGTCGATCTAATGAGTTTCCATTGCGAAATGTGTACTTAAACGTATTGCTGTCTTTGTTCTTCTTCCAGAGAAAGAAAGAGACAGGTATATGTTTTCTTGTACAGATGTTTAATGTGGATATCATTAAGGATAAAGTCGTTATACAAAAGTGCAATAATATGTGTATGGAAAGTTACGATTTTTCTAGAAGTTTCTATCGGCTTGAGACGCGACAAGACTGATGTTTGTAGTGCGTTTCAAATATGAATGTCCGCGCCAGTGACCTGCATCTATTAAAATAATTAAAGTACAGATTTTGGACTCATTAAAGTATATTTGAATTTGTAGATAAAGTTTTTTTTTAATATCGTTATTTGTTGCGATAGCTATGACGTCACAATGCGCGTATTCTTATTTGAAAGGCACTATATATCGTAGGTATACGCTGCCTCTTTGACTCTTGTCAATTCGTATTATACTATTGTATCATTGGAGCTAGATTGTAAAAATTGTCTTAGTTAAAGGCTAAAAAAATTGTAATTTTTTTCTTTTTATAATAAGTCTTGCGGCTTGTTTTGTTTATTGACAGCTATGACCGAAAGTATACGCAATAAATCCAAACATGAGTCAATTAATAGTAACGAATACTTGAATCTGGAAATAGTTACATATTTAAAGATCTTATGATGTAACTTTTTTCGTCGGATAAATCCTATATTACAAGACGATCCAAACAATCCTTTTAAAATGTTTAAAAAATATTTGAAACGAATTTGATGCTTGTTGATTCACGTGGCGTGGGGGGTTTTACTAAAAGTGGAATTAATTTTACCAATGATAATAGGTTTTTATGACTCCCGATTGAAAGGTTTTGAAGTGATCGGAGTTTCGATGAAAAGGCCTATATCAAAACTATGGGTAAAATGGTTCATGAATGAATAGTAAAGATGAGATAGGGTCAGTTGGAATGTTCGAGCACTATTTATTGGCGGATCTAAGGTTCAGTGAGAACTTAAAGAATTGGGCGATATTGGGGTTCACTTTGATCGATTTTAAAATTAAAAAACCACACAATATTTAATATCGTATAGAAATTAATGTAAACACTAAAAATGAAATTGATTTCTATTTTAATTCTATGTAAAAAATTCTTGAGCCCTTTAAGATAGTTTGATCCGCCAGAGCTTAACCATTTAGCATTTTACAATAAAAAAAAAAAAATATTCAAGTTTATTGAATAATTACGCACGACCATTTTTCTGTATAGTCTGGATTGATCCTAAGGAGGTATTAGGTTGGAAGACAATCAAGGAATGTTGGTAAATAACTAGTGTAGGGTAGGTATAAGTATAGACTGATGTCGATACTTCGACTGGCTTGGAGATCTGTTCGTGCAGTGTGGACATACTTGAGTGTTCAACGTAATTGTGGGGTTTTATTCGAAAACAGCAGGAAATGATGCGTTTTACTACGTCTTTACTGTTTTTATACA